GGTTTGAGACCGGAAGCTCACTTTTGTCCGTCGAGAGAGCGATTTCTTCGGAATTTTTTTAAATTTTACTTTTTCTAAAAAAAAGTATTTCAAAGTTCATAATCTTGATTGTTACAAATACCAATCTTGATTTTAATATTTTTAACGGCTACTTATGGTCTAATCTATTATTAGCAAAATTAAGAAAAGTCTTTGACCGAATATTTAACCTTTTTTCTTTCTATTGAACAACAGTCCGAAACTTCAGTGATTAAGAGACAAAAAAAAAAGTTAGAAAGCCGGTAAAAGAATTACGCCGGAGCATTGACGTCGGCAGAGTGGTTAAGGACGACAAAGTCACCGGAATCACGCCGGAGATGTTCAGGGACAAAAGGAAGGCTTCCCGGATTCTGTTCTTGTAAGAGAGAATTTAAAGGAGTTTGAGGAGGATAATGGTCAAGTATGTAATCTATTGCTTCTCCACTCATCTCTTTCTGGCTCAATAAAACCTACACACAACAACATAAAACCTTAAAAAATATGAACAAACAACGAAGGCCGCAATGACGGTGAAATGTCTGAAAAATACCTTAACGGTTTTGAGGAGAGCGGTTTGGTTTTGCGTGAGGAGAGAAACGGTTTTGTTATACATCTGGCTAATGAGTTCTTCACTTCTCTGTGCAACTTCGTCATCCATATTGAAGTTAATGGGTGGTTCGACGAGGTCATAATCGTCATAGAGGGATCCTTCAAAGTCTAAGCGTGGTCCCACAAACTGAACCCTCTTTCTCCAAGGTGGTGGTTCGCCATGTATCACCATTGGGTTCTCCAAATTCCATCTGAAATCCAAATAAGCGTTGAGCAAGAAGAAGCGTTTCTTTCAAATGAAATGTGAAACTGTGAAAATTGAGCTCACATGGTTAAGATTTTACGAGCTAGCCATGAGGCATCGGACAGATAATCGACTGATGCCTTTGAAGTATCTGAGCCATAGATCACTTCTTCTGCAGCTCTTCCTCCGAGCAAGACCTGCAACCAA